TTTGACTTGATAGTTTTGCTTTTAACAGTTTTGAATTTCACGATTTTATTTTCATAATTTTATTTTCACAGGTTTATTTTTATAGTTCTACTTCTACAGTTTTATCTAAACTAACAAAAAGTCTGGTATCATGGTTTTAGATATTGAGCCGAATGCTAGTACAATTGTGCAATAAATTGTTTGACATAATTAGTTGATTTGTTTAGCAGCTGTTTACGTTCTCCTGGCATATCACACGTAGCTATCTGTATTAATGATAAATTACCACGATATGCTGGTTCACAACTGCATTCAAAAACAGCATAAAATGCCAGCAGAATAACAACAGCTTGTTCAACGCTTTCGATGTTAGCCATCAATACATTGTCCGAATAACAAATCAGGTAATCAACTTTAACATTATCAATGGCAAGGATATAAGGATGCATTCTTTTTTTATCACACATCGCAATTATGTCATCTTTGAATCCATCCTAAATGAAGAGACGAGAGATGCAGACATCAGTATTGATTAGGAAGGTTTTTTGAGATTCGACTAGATAAGCAAGAGTTTTGGAACGTTACCTAACTACAAAAATGTATTGAAACTTAGTCATTGCTGAAAAGCTGAGCATTTTGGATTTTTCTTTGTCTTTTGGCACTTTACTTTGTCTGTCCTTTGTGAGTTTCTGAGACTATAATAAGACTTTTCCAAAAATATTTTTTCACAACTTTATTTGCACGACAACAACGAAAGCTCTAATGCACCACGTGTTACCTGCTTTCTCTTAGGCAGGTGGTGCCACTGTACTGTTCTAAGAGCATGAACCACCATGTATGGCTGTATTCGACGTGGCTTTTGCTATAATAAACAGGGTTGATAGTGTTTCGCATATAGTGAAGTGTGCCTGTGATTCTCTTACGAAACATTGCACGAAAAGTTGCTCAGCCGGTTCAAGAACGTTTGGCTCTACTTTTCAAATTCTTCTATAGCCCATTCTATAGAGTTCCCAAAATGTTTTGATTCAGGATAACTTCTTCGAAAGTTATGGAGTATTTTGCAGAAGCCTTAAGGCCCTCCTCCAAAGTCAGAAACCTATCTCAGACCAGGTAGGTCTCATCTGAATCAAACTTTCAGGGAATGTTGACCATGTCAGAGTACGAAAAGTTCGAAATTTTGGATCAACTTCTCTTTGGACAGAAAAAATTTATGTGAAAGGACGAGTGGCATTAGCTTAGATTCGCGGACCACAACGAATAGGCATGAGTTATAGTTTTTCGGAATCAGCATTGAATTCTGAACAAAACTGTCGCTTCAGATTTTTAAAATGCGACAAAAAAAAATTTTCGAAAAATTTTCGGGCAAACCCCCTGGTCAGGGACGTCGAAAACATTTTTTCCGATTTTTTGACAAAGAAAAGTTTTCTCTTACAGATTCGAGTGTGCTGATTACGAATATCGCAACCGCAGCTCCAACAAATGGTTTCCTGAGGAATGGCATCCATTTTAATTTTTGGTCCAAAACACGGTTCTTTTGAATTTTTGTCTCCTAAGTCGGTGGAGTTGAGTCTGAGATGCTCTAAAATGACCTATTTT